CGGCCTCCCGTTTCTTCCTTTCCTCAGCTCTTCGTAGCGCTTCTGCTCTGTTAGCGGCAATCCTCCTTTTTTCTTCTTCCGTCAACGGTCTACTCATGCTTCTGCAAAATCCATTTAACAAAGCCTTTTCGCACAGCATCCAAAACATTCAAGCAACATGACTCAAGAGGCTGGTGAATCATGAATACTATGACCTCGGTAGGAGAAGAAGTGCTACCTAAATCAATGACCAACTAATGAAGAGAGATGGGTGCCCAATTTGACTCTTGAAGCGGGGGGGGGTTTGGGCCTTTAAAAAAAAGGCCGAATCGAAACGGTGACATTAGGACTAAAGCAGTAGGAGACGGCGGAAGAACGGCAGGAGAACGATTGCGCAGCAATTAACCCAAAACACTTCCCCCCGTAGCTAGTTGTTAGTCCGATATGCTGTAATGCAACATGCACTTGATTGTCAACGCCCAACCCCTCTACGACATAATCGAGAGTCTAGCCAGTCGCAGGAAAACAACATGCCCGATTTCGAAATAGTTTGCACTTCGCGCCGCCCAAGTTGTTGTCGCGTGCGACGTCGCGGACAGGACAACACGTCGCACCGGCCTTTTTCTTCCTTCTTTTGTTCAGAATCGGCTTTCTAGCCCTTCTACAGCATTTTGCTAAATTCAGCAGTGCGACTCCGTACATACTTTCCGCGCGGACAGGGTATGATTACCTGATAACGGCAGAAGTGATGGGGTGAGTTAAGTTCTTGCTTGGTAAAAAAAAAGTTTATTTCTCATTTGCTTTTCAGGACACGGAGCAAAACTCATCCTCATCAAAGCCTATTGTTGTATGGATGCAGAGAGATGGAAGGCTACGTGGAGAATATTCGCAATATCGTGCTGCGAGTGAAGGATCCCTCAAAATTTGGTGAAAACGTGCAAGGCAAGTTTGTTACTCCGATCATTTATCCCCAGGTCATTTCTTCGTATGGGCGCGAGAACTAGACACCAACAGAAAGACAAATTGCGCATCCAGTTGTAATAGCTGAATCTTTTCAAAAAACCTATATTCTAGGTGTCATAAAATGTTCATCCCCAAATTACTTGCACCCAGATTGTTTGCCCCAGTTAAGCAGTCCGAGTCTGTTCTACTCAGAACTTTATTCGTAAGGATCAAACGATTGGTTCATCGTCAGAGCGCCAGCACAACTCTTTTCTACTCTGCATTGTAGTATTCTGCTTAGATGAGTATCCGGGTCTCCGGGTTATCATTATTATTATATTAATACTGACTTGAAGAATGTTCATGCTAGTTTTCCGCACAGTCTCAACTAAACACCACTTGTTACCAGCCGGCTGGTTCAATGATAGGACTTGACCTAACCACGTATAGGTTTTAAAACCTTCAAGGTAGGAACGTCTTCTGATCGACTCCCATCAACTATTTTCAGGGCTCCCCCACTTTCTTCACGATTTTGGGGCGCGGCCGCGGCGAGCGCGGACGAGTTGGTAGTGCCCGCGAATTGTGCGGGTAGGTTTGAAAACACTCCATCAGCACACTTCGTGGGTACTATCAACTCGTCCACTGCGGCCTGGCCCGCGATCCGCCGCCCCAAATCGGAAGCAAAGTGGGGGACCATCTTCAGGAGAGCTGGTGATCGCGGCATAAATCCGGCCTTAAGGCTGCTTTCATAGTTCGCATCGGTGCCGTCGGTGCCGACGTGCCGCCGACGCGCGGCGCCGACCGCACCGACAGTGTGAAGAGCGTCAATATGCGCTCTGGCGCATGACGCGTGCGCTGGGCGCAGATGGGGGGCTCCGATCGATACCGTTGGTTTTTGTGTATTTCTTGTGCTTTTCGATGTTTTTTTTCGCGCCGTGTTGCTTTTATTCGTGTGTTATCTGCTCATAGTTATTCTCTTATGTCTCGTTTCATACTTTTCAGTTGTTCCGCGGACGAGCGATTTCGTAGAACCCCGTCGTACTACCCCGAAGTGGCTATACTGGGTGATTCATCTACAGTCGAGATCCGAAAGTTGGGGTAGGCGTGTCACCGGAAGTGACGTGGACTTGATAGAAGTTGCGTAGATAAGTCGTTGCCAGCATGCTTTGCTGATATCTCGCGATGTATATTGGAAGCCCCTTATCCACATAGATTCTATCAAGCACACGTCACTTCCGGTGACACGCCTACCCCAACTTACGGATCTCGAGTATAAGCAATTTTGTTTATTCGAGTGGACTCTATAATTTAGAAAGTTGCTTTTTCTTCGATACGATTTCCTGCTGGTGTGCGAAAGGCCGCCGGATCTTGGTAATTTAATTATTCGCACACCAGCAGGAAATTGTATCGAAGAGAAAGCAACTACTGGAAACATACAGTTCACTCGAATAAACAGAATTGCTCATGATGAAATCACTGGGTCTTGAAGCCACTTCACACGGGGTTATACGACGTCGCTCGTCCGCGGAACAACTGAAAAGTACTCATGAAGACATAAAAAATAAGTATCAACAGAAAACACACTTATAAAAGGAAAACTGAAGACAAGAAGTACACCAAACCCAAGATTATCGATCGGAGCGCGCCATCTGCGCCCAACGTACGCGTCATGCGCCACAGCGCGTATTGACGCTCTTGGCACTGTCGGTGGTCGGGTCGGCGCCGTCGGCACCGTCGGCACCGACCGCACCGATGCGAACTATGAAAGCAGCCTTATGCTTCTCCCACCGGCTCCACCCAACAGGCTGTCTGGTAATACTTTAGTCAAGCGTATAATTGAGCCTCTCACTAGCAGAATTTCTCGACGCCAGAGATCGGCCGAGTTTTAGGAGTCTATAGTTCATGTTGCTACCTCTGAGAGCCGTCGAGTTCGCTTCCCTCCGAAGCTTTACCATGCCTCCACCCCCCACGAAGTTGCAAAAAAATGTACAGCCACTCAGCGACAGCCCAGGTGACAAGCCAGCTAATAAATGCCTCAGTTGCAGTAACCATGATTGCAAAGTCCGCATAGGAATCGAGTGGTAGGCTAAGGTCGTTCACCCGAAATGTGGCTCGCCAGATCCCCAGTCGACGAGTTTTTTCGGTCAGTATGCGACGGTACCGCGAGGATTGAACGGCCTCAGCCCCAAGAAGTTAGTTCGAGTCTGGGACTAATCAGATGGCACGCTCACTGGAAAATCCCGAGACGGGCTGCATCCGGTTGTGACCTGATGCGTGAGCCATGAGCGGTAGCAAGAGCCGTTCAGGGACTATTTCTCCGCCTGCTGAATAGGCCCACGCGCATTTGAAGTCAAAGGAATAGAACCGAGGGAATACTGGGGTAGAGGTGGCAGCTCGCTTCCTAAACAGAAGCAACAGAAACAAAGATAGGATGTAGAAAGCCTGGGAACACGTGCCATAGCTCTCATCTTTAAACAGAAGAGTGACGCGATGGACTGCTGCAACTACAGCACCATCAAATTGATTGTGCATACCGTGAAGTTGAACAAGCGGGTGGTCTACTTGAGGCTAAGGGATGGCTAACGGAGTGGTACCTCTTCCAGGAACATTTTCTTCGTGGCGATGATGCGTCGGAAACATTAAGTAATATGCCTCTAGGAGACACGATGGAAAGGAGCTAAGGTTAGGAAAATTGGGGGGGGGTGTTAAACTGTACTACAATTTAGAAGACAGTCACGGGGTCGCTCAAGTACTGTGTCTCCGTGTACGGAATCAGCGATCGGATGGAGGACAAATAGAGGTATGGAAGCGCTGGAGAGCCCGGTATAAAGTGGCTCACCTGTTTCTGAATCGGTCACTGGTGAACGAGGGATGCTGGATGCCTGGAGAACAGCTACTATGTCCCTATCTTCAAAAACACGATCGAGGGGTACCGGCCAATACCGTCCGTGTACGGGCCGCTTGCTGGTTGTTTCGAATGTGAGAAGGATGAGTACTATCTGAGCTTCAGCGATGTCATCAGATAAACTCCGAGAGGTGATTACTTCATAATTGCAGGTGGTTACGTGGGTAGCGACGGAAGAGACCTAGAACGGGTTCACGAAGGCATAGGGATAGGAGTTAGGTACCAAACTTATAACTCGCTTCCAAGCTGTCCCGAAAACTAGGGAAGAAGTAGATAGTCGGCCAAGAAGGAGGTCAACTGCTATTGGGGAGCGGTTCATACGTCGTTGAGCGAAGTTTCCACTAAACTATAAATCGGTTCACAGACAGTTCAGGGACTGGTAAAAAAAAGTGGGTTAGAGGTCGGTGAGGACGAAAAGATCAAACGCTGTTTGAGGGCGGGACGTGCATCGAAATGGGCGGGAGTTTATCAGAGTTATAATTCGCTCCAGAGGTCAGAGACCGGAAAATGGAGGGCAATGGTTGGTGGGAGGGGAGGCCAAAAGACATCGGTGGGTGGGGCATGCAACGTGGTGGGCGGGGCCAAAATTCAAAGTCGCAGCATGGTCCAGAGGTTGCACGGAGACTGAGACGGAAGCGGATAGAATCTAGCTCGGAAGGGCACGTCAAATATTGTAGTGTGCCGGGTTAGATTTGATGGTTTTTGCCGCATCGTTCCATATTGCCGCAGAACTGTGTCGTGCTAACAGCGTGCTGCGCTAGCTGGTACAAATGTTTTAGGTATACCGAACACATCTGGGGAGCTAGTCGATGTGCGATGGGAATCTATTATGAATCTACGTCCCACAATCTTCGAACTCACCCATTCAAGAAATCCTCTGTCGCAACTAATTGGAATGCTGAGGCGTATTTCGGACGGTGAGGTAAGAACACGTTGAAGCACAATTTCTAGATGATGAGAATTTTTTATAGGTAGATGAGTTCTTCTCACGGCTCAAAATGATACTTTTGGACACGACAGACGTCGACGTTCAAGATTTGCTTTTTATATTGCAAAAGTAGGAGGTTAATTACTGAAAAGCATTGTGTGTTTGTGAGCTGTTCTCGATTACGCATTTCAGACTTAAGCTGCTGGCTGCATTTTCGTTTTCTGATACTCGTTTCTCGAAAAAAGAATGGATCTTTTATCCTCTGAGCTCTCACGCCTGAGCGTACGCGCCGTGGATATGAGTAACGACATACTTGATGTACTGGATAAATTGAATGTGGAACTACTCAAACTCTCAGGTGGTCCCGGCATTAAAGTCAAGGCTCTCAAGGTGACGTTTGTCCTTTTTTGAGAAGTCTCGTTAATGTCGAGGTTGGGAAAAAATCGAAATCTACATCCAGCAGGATGATCGTGTCGAAGTGAAGACCGCAGCAGTACGAGTGCGACGGTCGCCTCGGTGCCACCCCTCCCTCCCTTTCCAACATATCTCATATTAAATGCGCAATCTCATCGATTCAAAAGTGCTCACTGAAGCCCGCTCCATCTAATACCATCATGGCCATCAGAATTTCTGCCAGTCTGTGATAAACAAGTCCAAGCATCAAGAACACTTGGGCGGGGCGGTTTTAAGAAGGCGGGCCCGTTCAGGTTTGGAGTACCAGTTGTGTTGCAACCTGCTCTCTTTCAGCTGTTCACGCACATACTCTTCTTTTGTCGTCTGGCTAGCACTTTCACTGATGAATATGCATCCCTGGTGCTGATCCAACTTTGCAGATGTTTTGAAGGACAGTGAACACGATCGCTATGGTAATAGCCGTGCTGATTGACGTCAGGGGACCTATTTTTGAACGAATCGCTGCCACTCTAAATATCAGCCGCATTGGTTGTGGTTGGGAGCACCTTCAGTAGCGCTTAATCTATTACGCTCAACAACGCTACCAGACCCTCCGTCTTCCTGTTATCCTGTTCAATGCCTTTATACAGGGATGGCCAAAAAAAACACTTCACATTTCAGACAGCATCAATTCCCACTATGATAAACACAAACGACTGCTCCCAACTCAGTTTTCAAGACCACATCCCAATCTATCTATAAACGTTGAAATAGCTTCAAGGAAGTTCACAACGATTTGGGGACCTTGTGCACTGTTCCAGCTCAACTGGTCCTCGGCGGATCATTGACCTTTACGACGTTATCTGAAACGCTGGTCCAAAGGGGTCTTGCATATTTAGAGATACTATCCCTAGGAAGCAATGCGTCAGTCAAGTGATTAAAGAAATCTTGTAGGCAGCTTCGGGCTGAAACGATTGCTTTAGACCTTCTTGAGCTCAACGGTGATGGGAGATGAGTCATATTTTGAGGACGGTGAGGGCAGTGGAAGAGAGCTTGCTTCTCCTATGAGAGGACATCCAAGGGATATTTTGCCGTAGAGCTTTCATCAACAGCGAACTCTTGCGATGAAAAGTTTGATGGTGTGCGTCATGGGCAAAGTGTCTCTTTTGTATGGCCACCCCTGTATTTGCGCAGTGATAATTTACCGAAAAAGCATTTGTAGAAACAATCCCCAAACCTCATCATCACCTACGTCCCATGATCATCTTTTTGCCCGAGCGTGCGACAGCAACGTCTTATCGTTCTCCCTCGACTGCACAGTAACCCAGTGGAACCTTCTCACTCTAGAGGCCCAAAAGCCCTTTTCAGTTCGTTCAGACTTTGTGAAGAAGTCTGAACATCGAACCGGCGGTCGTCTAGGTGTTCGTATGACGTTACGGGGATCCAGTCGGGAACCGGTGTGGTTCTAGAGCCATTCACAGATTCCCATGACGTGCCCACATGAGCTCATAACGGTAGGTCCGTGATCTTCGACCGTTGAGGGGATTCAGAGCTGCGGATTCCTCTGCACTTGTGCATCGTGTAACTCAAGCATCATCCACTCCACCGTTGGATAACAGTGATCGTCCTGCGCATTTTCGTTTTCTGACACTCGTTTCTCGAAAAAGTCGCGCAAAGTCTCAGTCTGAGAAGAAGGACTTTATGCGCGGAAGGAGTGCAATGGCCGATGCCTCTCAGCCTTTTCCACCATTTCTTGGAAGTTGATTTCTGTTTCCATGAGTCAATGAACGCAAGGCACAGCGGCCTCTCGCAACGTATTCTTGAGTCTCGTAATCGTGTGAATGATCGATCGTTCTGAACCATCTTCAAAACCCTGCTCATTCGCGTGGCTGTCCTTTATCCAGTGTTCTGCAATCTGTTATAGGATACCACTTGCAGTGAATATATACAGGGGGGGCCAAAAAAAAAGACATTTTGCCTCCACTTCCAGATGGATTTAAGCACATTTTACTCAACTCAGACCGAACGGTTCCAACTTATTATTAAAGAGTGCATTCCATTCTATAAGAAAATCTTCATAGTGGCCACGTACGTGGACGGCATCAGAAGAATTAGCCCTGGAAACATGGTGCACTGGTCGATCTCAATGGGGTCTTCGAAGGATCGTGTACCATAACGACCCTTACTGGAAAGCTAGTTCCGAGGGGATTTGCACAGTGGTAGCTAATGCCTCTAGAAAACTATCCAACATTAAATCGATTCACGAAATTGCGTAAGAGCTTCAGGCTGAAGCTCTTACGGTAGACCTCCTTGAGCCTGACGACGGTGACAGATGACGTCATATTCTGAAGACGGTGAGGGCAGTGAAGGAGAGCCTGCGTACACTAATAGAGGAACACTTAGGGAATACTCTGCTGAGGAACTCCCGTCAACGACAGCAATCTCTGCGAAGAAAAAAGAGCCGAAGTCCGACATAGGCAAAATGTCTTTTTTTTTTTGCCCCCCCCCCTGTATAATACCGCCAGTCAGCAGAGTGAGCGATATTTGTCGCTGAACCTCCCTTCTTGTGCAGCAACATAGTGGTTTTTACATTACATTCCAACTGGCTACAGCACCAGATTGGCGGTAAATTTTTCCAACGTCCCGATATAAAGGTTTAACCCAGGGAAAAATCTTAGGACCGTTCCCTTGGTCTCTAGATAAGACCTTAAAGGCAAAAGTCGGGCTCAATAAGGGGGTATTATGGCGATTGGAACTGAGTATAGAGATGCGAAGTGGAACGACAGTGGAGAAAAAACTGAAAAACCGTCGACAAGGCCGTTAACAAAACCCTCTTCCCCACTAGCAGTGAAGGAGGCTGGCTTGGGAAAGAGGCACGTACAAACAAGTTTTCTGAAGATATCAGTCGTTCTACGTTGATACGGCAATCAACCTAGCTGATCTCACACGTTATGCCAGCCATGCACCACATCCCATGGTGGGCGGCCGGAGCGCCTCCAGGCGGCGCGAGCGCTTAATGCATGCCCTGGGGCGTTATTACGGCGCCTTTTGAGATTCTGAGCATGGCAACGTCCCTGTGGGTGCGTAGCCATGCACATAGACGACTAAAGTGATTGGTTTGGTCCACTGAGCCTGACTCGTGGCTTTAATGCATAGCAGTTTGCATTCTGTGCATGGAATCAACCACAGATCGCTCTACGTCGGCTGCAAGTAGCTGCACGCACTGCAGTTCCCTTTTTACAGTTATACGAGCGCCCTCTCGTCTGTGGCGCTCTCTCACCTCATACTCTCCTTTCCGCGCTTACCTCTCTTATTTTCTCAGTACAGCCTATTGTGAGGATGAGTAAACCCTTATCCCAAGCGTTTTCAATTTTCTTCTCTCTTTTTTTCTTTTCTGACGGCTCCTTTTGCACCAATACAGTGGTGTTCGTGTGCAAGAACCACATCAATTTGATCCTTGAGGGTGGGGCGCAGGGGGGGAAGGGGGGGGGGGTAGTCGTATGAGAAGCGAAGTTCAAACGCAAGCCTCAGCATTAGACCGCTGGAGTTATCCCTTCGATAGATTGGATAGAGCTGTTTGCGATGACTATGGTGGCACCGTAATGTATAAAAAAACACCCAAAAATCACGAGACGCCAAGGATCCCGTTGACGTTTTAACTCCGTGCACCTTGTTTCCGCAAAGAGTTTTTCTGAGGTCGTCTTAGTAGAAGGTCACTAAGAAGTTCTCTTTTCAATGAATGGGATGTGCTCTTCAATTTAAAGTGAGAGCATTAGGTTTGAATTAACCGTGCGATCAAGTCCAATTGAATATGGAAAGAAGAAATCTCTTATTCCCCCCCCCTCTATATATTACAGTCGTTATCATAGCAGGGATGTTCGGCTGAGCGTTGAACATATAATGCTATGTACTGTGTAGGCTCGAATTCGCCGATGTTGCTCGCCTAATTTTCTGAATGGAACTCGGTGCATGGCAAGCAACCCAAACCGGCCGTCTGGGCCAATTTATCCTTTACATTTCTGTGGCTACGAAAGCAACGGAAGACAGTGCATACACAAAATTTAAGAAAAGATTTCGACGTGTTACTATTTGATACTTTTTTACAACAATTTTGTCTCCCACTGGATGGAATTGTCTTGCCCTGTGCTCGTTCAGCTGCGCTCCACAACCTGGTGGATTAATATTTAGCGGCATTCACAATTCATTCAAATTCGCTTCAGGATTGCAGCGCAACCTTTGTCACTGTACGAACTTTGATTGCTCAAGAGCTCGACTACTCATACAGTGGAGATGCGCAGCAATTGATGGCCTGCATCGAGATAAAGTAAAAACCGCCCATATTACAATTTCTTTCACTTTACATAACAAGACTTACGTCAAGAAATTAGAATAACACTTTCAATCCATCAACATTTTCAGATTTCCCCGTTTGAAAACTCTTGTCTGGGATTGGAGCATCGTAGATCCTGCCCTTACCATTGATGGCGACTCGAAGAGTGCCATTGCAGGACTTGTGCAGTTGTTCAAGTAAGATTTCATCGCTCAGTAAAGCTAGCAATCTCGCAGTAAGCTGCTTGAGTGAGTGCTCTGCGACGATTATCTGCGCGGTACATTTCCCTGCTTTAGCTCTGTCAGTAAGGTGACCTATTCGTAACCTTCCGGGATGTCCCATTTTCAGGGTTTTAAGATGCCAGAAGGGACACGAAAAGCTCACAGTCTTTCCTGTCTTACAGTTCAATTCTTGAACTACGCACAACGCTGTTTTTAAGTGGGAACCTTGGTTCAAGTCGTTTCCCTGCTGAAGAAAAGCACTTGTTCAATAAAGTATTTTGCATTATTTACCGCAACTTCCTCTCCATCTTTCTGGTCACGATAAGTGATTATTTGACCATAAGTGGTGAATTGGTAAATTCGCCGACTCATTCCTGCACGTCTTGAAATATTTAAAATCGTATGTCCTTTAGGCTTTGCTTCATCGATATGATGATGTGATGATCAGGTCTGTGCGGTGAATACGTAGGGGTGGGTGGATTTCCCACTTGAGCACAGTAGGTCTTTTAAAGGCGAAATTCGAGATCGAACTGATGTATAAATGTGAAGTGTAACGTCAGCAGCGGAAAAACAGGAAGAAATTATCGACATGGCAGAAAATAAACCCTCCTCTCCACTAGCAGCAAGGCGAAATAGCCCTGATTTGTGGACGGAGTCAATGGTAATGGGCACTGCCAATGCTGCTGTGGTAGGGCGAATGCTGCATCATACGGCCTTTCTCTGAGAAAGACTTTCCTTTCCGACCCAGATACTCCCTGGATCTTCTGCTCTTAAGCGCAAAAGTTGGACTCAGCCCCACTTACTGAGGCCATTTACGACCGTGGCTCGAAAGCGCTTGTAATCGCAGACTTGTAGAGGTCGTGTCACTTCCCTACTTCGAAAAGCGTGACTTAGACGCTATGCGCTAAGAACTTTGGCACGCTCCGCCCACCGCTCGGTATCTTGCCTGCCGTCGCTCACTTGATTCGCTATGCTCTCTCTACTCGGACAAAAGACTTCCTAGACGCTCTCCCCGCTCACATTATCTCTCATCTCCCTGCCGGCCTTTTGAACTTCTCCGCAGCGTAGAGCAAAAGGCTCGTATTTCCTGTGTATTTCACGAATTTTTTTCCTTTTTTCTCCACTGGCGGTCCACCTCCCTACCCCTACTTTCACATTGAGTGGGAACTACCTCATAGCTCAGTCTTGAATTTTGCCTTTGAGTGTGTCGCAAACTGGCCGCGCGGCAATCCGACCACTGGTGGAGTGCGGGGTCCGTGCCGGAGCAGCCCGACAACTCTTATTTTTTCTCTTTTTGGCTTTCAACGTTGTAAAATCACTAATTACAAATTATCATCATCACAAAACTTCGTGCCACATGCACCGATGTCGCTTTTCGTACAATTCCCCTCCGATACGACAACCATCGTCAATCTGCCATTATTAGTACGAAAATGTTCTACTCGCGACTCAACCCCCTCTCATTTTTGGGCCTTTTCCAAGCCGCTGCTGTGATTACCACCAGCCCATGTTCAAAGACTGAACAGTACATGGCCGCATTTCTACACGCGGTGCACGCACCGCAGTGGCAAAAAGTAGGCTTAATGTCAAGCACCAAGCGTCTATATGGCTTGCCGGCGGAATCGGATCCTACTGTCATATCTAAAATTGTGGAGTGTGCTCTTGGAAGCCGTTGTTATGATTGATTGTATATATCGAAGCATGGGAAGATCTACTACAAAGAAAAGCCTTGCTCCGAAGGAGTCAAAAGCTGGCGCTCTTGCAGCAAAATGCGCACCAATGGCAAGAGGCAAGTGCGGCAAAAGAGCAGTTCCTTAAATGTGGTGACGACTGTCTCCGTAGCACGTTCACCTTAAGGTGGCAAACTTGACTTTTGTCTCGTTGATGGAGAGGGGTTGCTGAATGCGGCAAGAGAGAGAGATTAGGGATAATGAACAGTGCTCAATTGCTGCAATTATCTTTTGTAGAGCCCAGTCTAGTGCGAAAATCAACAGGTGGAAAGGGATTCCACTCTGAGTTCCAGGCTTGTGCTTAGTTTTTTCTTCTTAACTGCACCGTTTACTACTCACGATCAGCTTTCATTTCCAACAGCGATCGTCGCACATGCCTTTAAGACATAAACAACAGTTCTTGGCAATTGCGCCGACCGCAGAAGCAGCGTACTGCTAGGCGTAAATACATGCTTCTTTCTCAGAGTTTCGAAGTTTTCAGGAGAATGGAGCTGAACTGCTTGGCAATAATAGCATACACACCATGCAATGACACGAAGTATGCTTCAGGAGAGCTAGCGCGCTCCCTTGTCGAAGCCCAGTTGCCATCTGTTCAACTGTTCCGATTCGCTTCGAAAGGACTATCTCAGGTTATTACAAGAACCAATAGCTTATGAAGGGAGAAATGTAATTTTTTCAGGGCCAGGACAATTTCACAGTAATAACAGCTGGTAACGACTATCAGACAATGAGTAAAATTCATTCCATCTACGTCGAAGGCCGAACTTCTGCTCCTGATCTTCGGTAGGTCCTGTTTCTTTTGGTTTCATAAATATTCTATTATTTAAACCTTAATTTGTTATTTAAATCTTAAAATCCTACATTTTATTATTTATTTCATTATAAATAATAAATAGTAGGATAAATCAATAGGGAAATCTGAAATATTAATTATGTACCGTAGTACGATTCTCTCTTAATTATTTGATGTAAACAATACAAAATTGAGTAACGTAATTAATAATCACGAGGCATAAATTTCAAACGAATCCGTGACAGGTTCCTAATGCAACTGTTGGATGACGTCACGCCTCCTTTCTCTTCTGCAACGGTAGTGGAATTCGGAGGATTTGACGAAGACAACATTCGGAGGGCGTACCAAGCGCGACAATCGCACTGAACTGATACATGTGTTGTATATTCACGGCTTACATTCATCGTTTCGGCGAATTTTGTTTTTGTTGACTTTTCTGGCATAGTTGTTATCAAGAATGAACTTTATTACAAACCTATTCCTTTTCCCTCGTCATTCTTGTATGGATCTTCTCGCGAGCAATCCACGGAGCCATCGATTTTATCAAAACGAAATTTGTAATGTTTCGAGATGACAAATTGATCGATTTGTCATTTAAAAACTTTAAACGTGAGATTTTTCGATAACAATGATTCAAAAAGTTTCGGGGGGCTCTTGTTTGCACAGAAGCGACTCTCAACATTCCATTAACATGATGAATGACTGCGCTTTTCATTGTGATATTCATTCGGTCAATATACAACTTTTTTTAGAAGCAACTGCACAGGTTGATTGGAGCAGACATCGCATAAGGCATTCAGGCATAGTTCAAAACTAAATGAGCTACCGGTTTTCTAAGACAAACTGATTCTATTCAAAGAAAACAATCGGTGTCAGGAAGTTTGCCGCGTTGGCTCTTTTGCAATTTTTTTTTAAAACGAGCCAGAAAGAACCGACTTGGACATCAGTTATAAGTATGCTTCATTCCAGTCCACCGCAGGTCGTCAACGCTCGAGCAGCTTCTCGATATTCTGCTCCTAAAAGGAAGGGAGCTAGGAGACGATCGTAAAGCGGAAGCGGCCACTCCAACACGGCCCAGGTTAGCGTCCCAGCCCAAACAGGAGAGATACGGGGCTTTTGTCCCTTCAGACTTCTTCGTGCCCGTCCGTTTACTTCCCCTTTAGCCAAATTCAGCGCATCCTGCATGGGCAAAATTGGAGACAAAAGATGAGGTGAAGGAAGCATCCAACGGCTCCAAAGTCGTTGTCCTTCTTACAAGCCTAGGGAATCGGCATGTTGCCTGAGCGTAGGCGTCGGTAAAGAGACTGAGATGGTGCATGTTGTGAGCTACAGACCGCCTCGCTTCTAAAATGTTTGCAGTCTTGGGGGCCAAGTTCCTGACCATCCTAGCAGTAGTTCCCGGAGCAATATTTCAGTTCATTGAAGAAACCACAGCGAAACGCATGAATGATATTTTTGACGTTGATCTTCAATTGTTGATGTGCTATGCATTTTTCTTCCACTGGGAATCATACTGACATCTGGAAATGCTTTGGCCTGCACGATGACTTGCAGACGCTGGTCTCAGTAAGAACAAGCGTTTTTGTCTCCAAGCAAGTCTGGCAGCAATTAATCGGTGTTGGAGGCGTGGGGGACCTGTTTGGTTTGGGCCGGCTTTGATCCACAATTAGACTCCGAACACTCCATACGGTATGTGGCGCCAACTGCCACTGGGTTTGGCGCTGGCATCCATCTGAACAGTAGGATTGAGCAGAGTTAGGCATCTAAGACTTGTCTGGTGATCTTTTCAGGGACCTATAAATAATGGTAGCACAGTTAAGAGGCAGAAGGCACTTAAACTGGGTGTTGGAGAAGGGAAGCTTTGCCTTGGAGGGAGGCTGGGCTTCTGGGGGATCAAGGCGTGAAGCATTTGTAGAGAAAGGCATATGTATGTACGTAATGACTATGTAACAAAATAAGCCATAAAAATATATTCATCACACTCAACAATGCGGCATAAAGCAATGTACAATTGAGAACATATCCTTTCAATTTCATTCTCCTGCTCTACATCTTCCACTTTGAGCAACTATTCCGTTCCAAGAAGCCGTTGATTGCCTAGCAATTCCACACACGTCCAAATTATGCAAGGGCGAGCTACAGCCACTTAACGGCAGCAGTACTGCAATATAGAAGGAAACGTCACTTATGAATGAAACAATAGGGCAAGCATAAGTTAGTTTTTTTCACTTTGTGGATGAAATGCAGTGTTTCACTATGCCTAACACTCAAAGCAGACATTCTTTTTTAGCGCTCCGAATGGCCCGAACATATAACGGTACAGGCTGAGGCTAAGTTACTGGTGCACCAACACTTTGATACCAGCTTGCCCCGAATACTTCACAAATCAATTTTAACCATGAATATCAAAGACAGATGGAACGTCAAATGGAACGGCCCACACCCGCGGAACAAAACCTTTTTGCCAATGGATTACGAGTTGAAGAAAACCCTGACGGCGCTGACGTCGCCAACTTGAACGCTATGCTCTGCCTCTCTGCTGAAACGGCTAGTGTGACAGCGAGGTGCTGGCCAATCAGCGGACGTGGACAGTTACAAATGGCGTTCACTGCCACGGATAAGGTTCTATCAGCAACCTACGAACACTGCCTCTGCAGCGAAACATGCCTCGTCTCGCTCCTTCCGACCCCAATTCGTCAAAACCCTCTTTGAATACATAAAGCATGTTGCAACCAATCCTTTTCAAGATGTGCTACACACTCGACCTCCATTCATAGCTGCATAGTCATTTGTGCACCGACTAGCCCATACAATGACTTGCGGTGACCACAAAGCGAGTGGTCATCAGTTTCGTCTCAGAATTCCAAAACGCTGTTTTGATAGGGTTCAGCCTGTTCTGTCAAGAGCTCCCTTTTCATAAGCCGTTCAAATCTAACGGTCGTGACAGTCTCTTAATAGATCAGGCATTTCTTTACAAAACGGCTCATCCAGAAAAATCCGCCGGGTAGACTCTTAAGAACTTGAGGGGCATCGCCGCACTCAATTAGGGCCAGAACATGGCTTCTATGTACCATTTCTAACCACTCTCTCTTTTCTCTACAAAACCACCAGTACAGGAAAATCCGTAGGGTAAAGTCCAGAGAACTGTGAAAGATGGAACTCTTGTTGTAAGCAATGAACCTCTTGATCTCCTTGGTTTCTCAAATTATGGGCCCCTTAAACGCATGATTTGAGAACGTTCACCAGGGATCCTCTGTAAGCTTGTGTGGAAATTTTAAGGCCTCGGCGAGAACAGGTGGGATTTTCCCTGTTGGTACGACTTCACCCTTCCACAATGAAAAAATGGAAACGTTCTTATTTTTTCAAAGTCGCCCTTTGTCAATGCCTTCAGCAAGTGTCTACTTGCTCAAGTGTCTAACCTTTACTTGAAACAGCGCTTTCAAAATCCTTGACCGAAAGTGATGGCAGCTAAATGCATGCCACTTGATCAAGGATCTGAAGAACAGTGTGGGAACTATGTAAAGGCATCATTCT